TAAGTTGCTAGAAGGTTGTCACTCACAACTTCTTAACAAATTGACAAATTGTTGAATTGCAGGACGATAATAAGTTTTTGGAACAACTTGTAACAAGTCTGTTGAGCTCAACAACCTTGTAGCAAGTTGTCAACAAGCTGGGAACAAGCAGTGCGAACACATCCTGTTGACAAGTTGTTGGAACAGCATTGCTACAAGTCTGCTGCAGGTTTGTTACAATTTGTGCGTTTTTACGTGTGTAGTTCAAAAACACGAACCACGGCAGCCTAAACTGGACCACCAGGTTTCAGACTTCTTATATAACATGAAGGACAATATATTATTATATTATTATGTTATTATATGGACAAGGAAATTTGTCTCAGTAATCCTTTGCTGCGTTATTTTCACCTACCATTTTCTTCCTGAGATAAAAATCATGAAAAATTGAGAAATAAAAGAAGTCAAATAGCACAATGTGTAATGAGCTGAACACCATTCTAAACAAGTTAAAATAAAGGAAAACAGACTTAGACCCACGACTTAGACCAGGGGGGGGGGAGTGATTTTGAAAAAAAAATTCCTGCAAGGCTATTCTGAACAAAAAAATACCTGCACTATAAACAAACTGAGGGAAAAAATATATCCTGCCCCATTATTTGGTGGGAAAAAATGTTGCAAAACAGCATGGTTGCAGGGATTGATTTGACCAGTCCCAGAAGATCAGCTGGTTTGATTTTCAGGGGCTAGTGTAAGGTTAATTTCTTGTTGGAAAACTCAAAGTCCCCTCCAGTTACACATGCGTTAATAATAAATATTAATCCGAGCATTAATAATAAATATTGATCCCATATGTGTTTCATTAAAAATGACGTCTTTAATGTTTGCAGATTGTAAAATTTCAATCTCATTTGTTCCAGCTGGAAAGTTTGCATGCATGACAGTATTATACGTCTTATGCCACGGTTTGTTTCCAATATTAAACACCGCAATCCTGCATATAAATTCTTTGAAACTTCTTGGCTAAACATGCATAAGTAGCAGGGGCGTAGCCGTCCTCAAACGAGTGGGAGTGGTGTCTAATTGTCCATCCATCCTGGGGGAATGGTCCCCTGAAAATTTATCTATTTTTAAGGACTGCGAAACGCTATTTCATGCAACTTAGACACGTTTTAGTATCTGAAAGCCACAGATTATTTATGGCCTAGATGAAAACACTAAGAGCCCCCCTCCCAGTTTCTCCTCAGTTTTGAAAGAATTACAAAATTGGTCCTGAAGAAAAGTAGGGTGGGTCCGGTCCCCTCCCCATCACCCACCACCACCGCGGCTAAACCTCTGATAAGTACTTACAATCACGGCAACCAAGATTTGTAAAACACATATTGTTGCAGTTCTGATGGAGGAATTCACCTATTTGAATAGGCAAGTAAATACAGTCAATCTGACAGAGTGGTTCTGCGTTAATTGGAAACACGCGCTCGGCGCAATGTGATATATATTCTCAGATAAATAGCCACCCTAACTCCTCGATTTTACGAGTAAAATTTAAAGTCCGCTATATTCATAGCTTTACTGAATTTTTCTTCTTGTAACTCTTTATCCACTATTTAACGGTTCTGTCATGTTTGTCTGAGTTCCGATGCTAGTAGCAGTCACCACTATCCGATTTCTCTAAAATCCTTTCAAGACAAGTATTGATAGTTTTTGTGAAATTTGTTTCAAGCTCATTCGAAATATCAACCCCATTGCTAGTAAGGGAATGTTTTAAGGCAAAATCGTGTAAATTTCAGACAGACAGAATAGCTCACTTTGCCTTTGGCGGTTTTGCGCAAATTGGAAACACGTGCTCGAAAGATGCTAAAACTCTCGAACACGTTAACAGTTATATTGCAATAGTATCCGTATATACTTTGTAGAATTTGCATATCATTTAAAATTGTATTTGTATATTTTGGTAAGCTAGCGAAGAGCCACTCTGTGGATGTATTGCCAATAAATCGTTATTATTATTCTATGCCACTATTTGCAGCGTATCAGTTTCTCATCAGGGACTTTCCCTATGCCTCATTTGCCATTTGCCAGAGATACAATTTTCTGTTTTGAATTTTCATTGATTTCCGGTACAATATCAAATTGCAAAGCGATATGTGTTGCTACTCGAGGTTTGAAAAGCGTCAAAGGCAAGGAACGAAATGGTATTTTGGGGAAAAAATCAGTAAAATTTGGTTTGCAAAAGTTGTAGAAGAAACTACATGCGATAAATAGTGGCCTTATACTATTTGAGTGTAAATACTTTTATTACTTATTTAAACAACTAGGGATCTTAATTCAAGAGTCTCTCAGGTTTCTGGTATTATTATATTGATCACTACTAGAGTAGAGTACAGTGCTAGACCCTAACTTTGCTTACTATTATAGGTTTATAATAGCACTCTCTATAGTCTTGTATAATATATATATATATATATATATATATATATATATATATATATATATATATATATATATATATATATATATATATATATATATATATATATATATATATGTAAAATGAGCAAATGTCAGTAGAAAATATCAGCAGACAGCAGTGTCACTTGGCATGGAAATACAAATTTAAAAACCTATTACACAACAAACATTTTTTAGCTTTGAAAAGATTCTGACATGCTGAGCATGTACCAGCAATGGCGTCCACTGAAATTACGCAATATTTACAGAAGCAGAGTTGAAGGGTGATGAGGGGCAACATACGTTTCAGAGAAAGATGCGAGTAACAGGGGATTGCGAGGTATAATTGCGCAGTCTACGTCAATCTTTATTCTGTGCTTGCCACATGCGCTTTATTTTGTGGAGGACGCTACTTCCTCTTTAGTGTACACCCCAGATCATCGTTGTTAATTGTATTGAAACTTTGTGCAACGAGTTGACTTTCGTCATGTCTGGTGGAAGCAATGATCATGTAGCACCACCACCTACATCACCACCAGAAATCAATTTCTCTCTCCCAAGACAGAGTGATTTTGCAACCAAACTTTACGACTGGCCAAGTGCTCCGACAGAAATTCTGCTAATAACAGCAAATGACCATGAATTCGCTGCCTGTTATTTTTATGTGAAAAATGTCCAAAGAAGTTATTGTAATGCACTCGGAATGGTGGATTTTGGTCAATTTGGCGATGGTGTGAGAGTTGCATTGATGAAATGTGCACAAGGACCGACTGAGGCTGTGATAGCTGTGAAAAATGCCGCTGAAAAATTGCACCCAAAAGTGGTCCTTTTCGTCGGGATCTGTGCAAGCATGAAACCGACGGAGGCAAAACTTGGCGACGTCGTGATTTCTGCGAAATTGGCGACTTATGCAGATAGGAAAGTTAGCGCAGATGGGACAGAGTATCGCGGTACCAAAGCGAAAGTGAGTCGAAATATGGCTCGTCTTATTCTGCATGCAGCTGATGGTTGGGAGCCACCGTTACAAAACCAGAGTAGTTTAAAAGTCGACGTTCATCGTGACGCTGTGATGTTAAGTGGTCCAGAGTTGGTTGATAATACCAAAAGACGAGAAGAGTTAGCGGAATATTTTCGAGACGCACTTGGTCTTGAAATGGAAGGTGCAGGTAGGTAGGAGCTTCCTACATCATTCAGGCAAACATAAGTGGATTTGGCATCTGTGCATAACATTAGTAAGCGGCCTAAAACCAGAGTGCAAACTTCTCAACCTGTAGTTCACATGTATTTACGTAGAAAATTAAATACTGTAGTAAACTTAACGTAGCTCTCGAATTGTTTTTTAATCAAATTCAGGAAGGGAAATGGTAGCTTGGCTGTTGGCCAACTGATATCAACAAAAGAGACCAACCTGTCACATGCTAGAGAACGAATATCCTTGGGCATAGTCTTACGAAATTTGACCTTATGAGGGTATAGGATGAATCTCCTAAGTACTGCACAGAATTTAACTGATATTTTTTAACCCAGAACATGATAGGCTCTGATGCCTATAACATTTTGCATATTGTCATTTTTGTTTTTAATTTTTAGGTCTATATGCAGCAGCACATGATCTTCAGATAGAATGGGCTGTTATCAAAGCAGTGTCAGATTTTGCTGATGGAAGTAAATCAGTGACAAAAGAGTGGCAGCCATTTGCCAGTGTAATGGCAGCATCTTTAGTTCACAACATGTTTAAACATGCTAATGTGATATTAAAACAATGGCCTCACAATCCAGGAATCTCAGGAGGTACGTGAATATCAACATGCAAAAACATCAATCCTGGGTTGGTTGGGGCCTGGGGAGAGTGGCAAGCATAGTACACGGCAAAAAACGCTCAGGTTGATGCAATACTGATGAAAACAGGATTGAACAATGTTTTGCTGCCCACATTGTTCATAGCTGTCAACAATATTGAACAATATTGTTACACCCGATTCAAGCTCAACAACATTGTTCAATATTGTTGACAAGTGTGAACAACGTGGGCAGCAAAACATTGTTCATACCTGTTGAGCAACGGGCTCGGCGTTTTTTGCCGTGTACCTGCTCCAAACTGCAATTTTTCAAAAAAGGAGACATATATACTTTGTTTCTCCTTGTGTAGTAACATTGGATTGAACCTAATTTATACAAAGAAGGTATCGAAATGTATTAAAACAGTTTAGCAGTGACTAAGTTGTCCATTTTGAAAGTTATTTAATAAGCATACATGTATAACAAAAAAAATGTTGTGAAAAATAGGAATAGACATAGTGTTAATGTTAAGACAATTTGAACAAATGAATTTTTAGGTTTGGACATTGTCAAGTAAATAGAATTAGCTAATTGCTTATTTCATGAGCATATTTCTAAAATTAGCTTGTTTTTTTAAGAGAGCATTTCTCAAATAAAAATTATAAAGAATATTATTTATTGTGATTTATGAAGATACAATTGATGCAAAAAAACGAAAACGGGAAGAGAGCTCAAATGAAGATAAATATAAATGCCAAAAGAAATCACAGCCAGATTCAAAAATGTGTGTTACTTGTCATGCTTACAAATGAAAATCAGCTTCCAGATGACCGCAACAAGTGGCCAATCCATAATATCGAAATGAGTTATTTCCAAAAGATTTGCAAGCTACTTGACCTTGATGATCACAGTAAAGTGCCAATTCTGAGTGCTCTAGAATGCTTCAACCAACTTGAAGCTGCCACTATGAAAAACAAATTTAAGGAAAAAGGAGGAACAGGGCTTGCCAAAGTCGCACTCCAGAAATGGGGAAAAGGTAAACGCCAAAATAATGTGGGGGCTCTTAAGAAGATTGTAGAAAAAACCATGGGAAGGGTTGATGTTCTTGTTGAGATTGAGAAATGGGAAAAGTTATCTGTTTGTCATGGATGTGGCATCAAACTCAACATTCAACAGTCTGATACCAGTAATTAAAATACACTGATGTGAGTGATGGATAAATGAAAAACATTGGTACTTTGGTAACTTTGGTTATGACATTTTCCCCGAGCCGCAGAGTGCAAAGTTGTCCTCCATTTTGTTTATGTCATGGACGGTTTTCATCATTATGCGCATGCGCAAGTACAAACTCTGTCGAAGTAATTGTTTTTCATTTTGGAAGGACATATTTTGCTATTTTACAGCAATTTTTTGTTTTAAGTTTTGTTAAAAAGTTTACAAAAGTACAACACAGTTTTTTTTTCAGGATTTTAACTGGAAATAAGCCTGCAGTTTCATGAATTAGTGGCTGTTCAACCGTGAAACAAAGTTTGTATAATAATTGTTTTGATGCTGATGTCTTTGATAATTTAATCGTTGTTGTGCCGGTTTGGATAAGTGTAAACATTTCAGTATTAAAATTATATGCCATACTTGCTTTGTATTCTCGGTTTTATTCATATCTGCAAAATTTTTAAGCCATTCTTAACTCGATAATTCACTTTAATGCAAGCCTGTGACTATATGACAGTCTTAAATTTTCAAATTACGTATCTGTTACACTGTCTCTTGTTTGTTTTTTTATTTAACAACTACTAGTATCACTGCATGTAGCATGATTGATTAATAGCTAATGCACCTAAATATAGTAGTCATACAACCTGTAGATGACTCAGTTATGTTTTTTATGGTATATGTTTTTCAAATAAAAACAAAAAAATGCGTTTGGTAAATTCACAGCACCCACCCAGTCATTTCTAAAACCTTAATCACATCATACATTGTCTCAACACGCTTCTGTTTCACTGGCAACGTTACTGCATATTTCCAATCAGAAACATTCCCTGTACAACAATTAGCCTAACTTCTCTCTTCCTTTTTCCAGTGACTTTCTTGTCCAATCAAAATTATTTTGCATTGTGCCCTAATGTATCCTGCTTTATTATTTTACTCTATCTAATGGCAGGTGATTTTCTTGCCAAGGGGAGAGCACTAGATTTTAATGGGTTAAAGAATGCCACCATCAAATATATTAGGCCAGTGGAATGAAAGGAAAATATTTTTTTAGTAAAACTTAACAGATTATTTCTGATTTTAAGCTTACGTTACGAACGCCATTTTCAAACACATGTAAAATCCATTCCTGTGCACAGTCCAACAAGCCTGTGTTAATTAAATTTCACATTTGGTATGGCAATATCATTCAAAGTGATTGTAAAAAGAGATTAAAGCTAACATTTTCACACTGTGGTTTTGTTGTAGTTCCTTTGGAAAACAATTGAATCTTTCAGCAAATACTGAAATTAATACAAAATAATGACAATTTTTGCACTGGGATTCACGATGCCAGCTGTTACTTTAATTCCCATTACAGTATTACATTTGAGTGCATTTTGATGACGAGTCGGCATTCCGTGTGGTCTCTCTATGCTTTGATGGTGATGTGGTCAAAATGACTCAAATCTAGTCAAAAATGAATCTATACTGTCAATCTGTCAGTCCTGGTAGATTGATTTGACTGACTAGATCTGTCTAGATGTCTTGTCTAGACATATTTCATTTTCAACATAATACAACTGTGTTAACAATACAAAACTAAATATATAAAATACTGACACTTACCAATGATGGTTTGAACTGTGTGTTATTAGATCTACCATTCTGTCAAACATTCGACCATCACTGTAAAGTAGACACGTGCTGTAAATTTTGAAATTTCCCAAACATAATATTTATTTTTATGAATTTAAATGTAACGCGCCCGATGTCGCTCGATCAGCGTTAATGGCAAGAACTCTCAAGAACTCTATACTTGATGTAAGTACAATCAAAATGAGAAAATTGGCGGGGAAATGAGCAGGGGAAATGCGGAAATTGGCGTGTCGTTTCAATGTGGTTTCAACTTTTAAAATTGGTATTATAAATTAAAACGGATAAAAAGCTCTTTGACGTTTGTAGTGTGGATAAGTGGCGTGGTAATCTCTTGCTACTGACCGCTCAAATATTTCCCACCGTTACACCCATAGTCTGCACCCGCACTGCACCCACAAAGTTGAAAATGCAAAAGGCAAGGGGTGCACTTGCACCCGCTGCACCCGTGGTTCCGGCATCCCTGGAACCACCTTAATGGAATAGATTTCAAGTTTGTTTCTCACGGGCTATGGTTAGAGAAACAGAACATCCTTTGTCAATACATGCATCAAAAAGAATTTTGGATTTCTACTATTAAATGTGGAAATAAGTTTAAACACGAAAACGAGGCCGAGAGGCCATGGCCCCCCACGTCGTAACAAAGCAATGGTTTTACTAACACTAACCCTATTCCAAACACTAACCCTAACCATAATCCTCACGCTAACCCTAACCCTAACCCTACTCCAAGTTTGTTTCTAAACCAATCGAACGGCTGGTCATGGTTTTTGAAGAAAAAAATTTTGACGAAATGTCATTCTGACGTCAGCGAAATAACCTCTCCACTTTCACAGTTGGCTGTTAGCCAATCAGAATTTGATTCAGGCAAACATAAGTGGATTTGGCATTTGGTGTTTTTCTTTGCTTTGTGTTTTCCTTTGGCTTTGCACGATTCCCTCCTCCCTGTTAGCCAATCAGAAACCAACGTGAATCTTTTAAATAAATAATAATGCTTTACGTTATTTCACCTACCATTTTCTTCCTGAGATAAAAATCATGACAAATTGAGAAACAAGCAAAGTCAAAAGGCACAATGTGTAATGAGCTGAACACCATTCTAAATAAGTTAAAATGAAGGGGAACAGACTTAAACCCATTTCAAATACAGCTCCAATAGCCTCATTAATATTTTGTGGCTGAAAGCAAAATTCGTAACTTCAAAATGTACCAGCTTGCAAAAATTCAAAAGGTGCCTGTGAGCAGTGCTTGAAGAATGTCAATGATGCCTGCACAGCTCCAGGGGCGTAGCCACAGGGAGAATGAAGGTCCAGACCCCCTCCCCATTTTTCTTCAGAACCAATTTTGTAATTCTTCAAAAAAACTGGGGGAGCCTAACCTCGTAATATTTTCATCTATGACATAAATATATCTCAATATGTGGCTTTCAGATGCATGAAATAGCGCTTTGCATATTCTAAAATAGAACCATTTTCTGGAGGACAATGTCCCCTGACAGCCGAACCCCATAGTTGTTCAGTGTATTCAACAATTGGATCCCCCACTCACTGGGGGAGAGGTTGGCTACCCCCCTCCCCCCCCCCTCATGTGCCAAACGTAACTGTCTCAAATGTGATGATGAGAGCAGTGAAAAAAAAAACAAAATGGCAGTGATTCAAGTGAACAAATTATCAAAAATGAAAACTGTATATTTTTAGTTGAGTTGAAAAATACGAAGTACAATGTCGTACTAGAGAAATTGTCTTGCTGGCCATCGAAAACTGGATGATTTTATTAAAAGGTCTGTTTTCCTTCCCAGTCCAGTTGATTCATCAAGGAATTGCAACCAGCCTGACAGACCAAGGGTGCCAGCTTTGTTATCTATAAAAGAAGAGCAGTAATAATAAATATTAATCCCACATGTGTATATAAACACGTTTGTAAAATTTCAACCTTATTTGCTCCACCTGGAAAGTGTGCATGAGCCCTATACGTCTTATACCATGTTTGCAATACTGAGCATCGCAATCCTGCATATGAATTCTTTGAAAATTCTTGGCTAAATATGCATCAGTAGCAGGGGCATAGCCGGCCTCAAACGGGGGGGTGTCTAATTGTCCGGCCATCCTGAACATAATGAAGTCAACTGATAGTGAAATCATAACTAAACTGTCAAAATTTGTTTATTCGTGTTTTGAACAAAGGCTTAAATACCTTGAAACCAGGAGTGCTAATTAGCAGAGGTTGTGATAACCACCTTATTTGTAAATATTATACTTGTCTACATTCTTTCTTCTTAGTTCTTATTAACGTTAATGTTAGTTTTCTATATATTGTTATAACTTTTATATGCTTCAGCAATACTGGAAATTTATAGTCATGCTAATAAAGCTATTATTTACCATTACCATCCTGGGGGAATGGTCCCTGTTAAGGAACTTCAAGTGTAAGGCGCGATGTGGGCGCAGCGACCGCGAAACGTGAATACTCGATAAATACAGCACGTTTCAGCCGTAAAAATGGGATGAAAATATGACACACCTTAGACGTGACTAAGAGTAGAAACGTTATGTGGTTAAACATGACGTTTGATCAAAAAATGGTTTCCTACTTTTAGAGCATAAATAGGAGTGTAAAAATATTATACTGTTGTTGGTTGGAAAGTGTTAGAGTGTTAGAGTGTATTAGTATATGAAATGTATGTAGAATGGTTAGTTTGATTGATTGTAAAAGAATGTTTGAATAAAGAAAAATTGGAAAAAAGGACAAGAAATACACTCCCAGTAGTTTGTTGACTGAACCAGGGAGCGGAAATTTCTTGTAGTTTAACCAAACTTGTGCAAAAAATATTACAACAGTGCCCTGTCTATTCTTAAGGTCTGCGAAACGCTATTTCATGCATCTTAGACACGTTTTATAATCTGAAAGTCACAGATTTGGTATATTTTATGTCATAGATGAAAATATTAAGAGGTTCCCTCCCCCCAGTTTCTCCTCGTTTCTCCTTGTAAAAAATTACAAAATTGGTCCAGAAGAAAAGCAAAGTGGGTCCGGACCCTTCTACCTCCTCACCCCCCTCCCCCCTCCTGACCAAACCTCTGATAAGTAGTACTTACAATATTTACGAGTGTTAACAGCAAACACAAAGCGGCTGATCACGGCAACCAGAATTTGTAAAACACATATTCAGGTTGGAGTTCTGATTGACGAATTTACCTATTAGTTGCGGGCAAGTAAATACAGTCACAATCAATCTGATAGAACATGCACACATAAAGTGAATGGAACCATTTTATCGGTTTTGCGCTAATTGGAAACACGTGCCCGATAGTTTGGAAACTCGCTAGGACAAATATGGCGCAACGTAATACAAATTCTCAGATAAATAGCCAAGCTAACTGCTCAATTTTACGAGTAAAATTTAAAGTCCGCTTAGTTCATTTTCTTCTTGTAACCCTTTATCCATTTTAACGTTGGTTTTACGGAATTAACAAGCGAAATTATTAGTCAAATATGTGAAACCTTTACGCATTCTGTATAGAATTTGATACCACGTTCTGTCTTGTTTGTCTGAGAACCGATCTTTCGAGCACGTGTTTCCAATTACCGCAAAACCGCCGAAGTGGTCTATTCGGGACTGTCTCAAATTTACACGATTTCGCCTTAAAACATCCCCTTATACTAGCAATGGAATTGATATTTCGAATGAGCTTGAAATAAATTTCAAAAACTAGAAATACTTTCACTGAGATTGTCTTTAAAAGATTTTAGAGAAACCCAAAAATAGTAACTACTACTAGCATATAACAATTACTGTATAGTCTGTAACTACTATCCTTATATTACAGGGGTAAAACAGTTTAAGTACTTCCGCGATATCTTGAATAAATTTAATTTGGGAAATTGCTGGTTACTGGTAAAGGAACAACGTGAATGGAGCATTCTGAAAATTCTGATAATTTGTTATAAAGCGCTTCATGTTGCAAACTGGCCAAATTACCTAAAACTACAAGAGGTGGAACATTCTCGAGTTCTTAGATCGAGCAGTAGCTCTCAAGTTCAAGTTCCTCTAATTAAGAACACATTACATGACCAGCCAGCACATCTCTTTAATGATTTACCTGTAGAAATTAGAACTGCAGAGACTACCGAGTGTTTTGTCTTAAAGAGGCCAAGAATTTATTCCACTATTTGCAGCATATCAGTTTCTCACCAGGGGCTTTCCCTAAAGTTGATGCGGGTGGCCATATACCATTTGTCATAATCGAGATACTATATGCATGGTGTCATGGAGATGCAATTTTCTGTTTTGAATTTTCATTGATTTCCGGTATCAATATCAAATTACAAAGCGATGTGTTGTGTGAAAAGCGTCAAAGGCAAGGAACGAAATGGTATTTTGGAAAAAAATCGCTAAAATTTGGTTTGTGAAAGTTCTAGAAGAAACTATATGCAATAAATAGTGGCCTTATATTACTTGATACTATTTGAGCATAAACACTTTTATTACTTATTTAAAAATCAAAAGTCTTTCAGGTTACTGGTATATATATATATATATGATGATTCCTATACGGATGAAACAGACTGTTGTGAAAAACTATATTACGCTCTATCTATATATGGTACTGAGCACTGTTTGTGTTTCTTAAACCAAAAACTTAAGATATATATATATATATATATATATATATATATATATATATATATATATATATATATATATATATATATATATATATATATATATATATATATATATATATATATATATATATATATATATATATATATATATATATATAGACAAGTATCGAGTTTGGAATCATATATGAGTAGAGTGCTCAATACCGTAGTATAGAGCTGATAAGATTAGATTAGATTAGAAGACAAACTTGAGTTACTTCATATGAACTTTATTTCACTAAATGAAATAAAGTTCATATGAAATAATTCAAGTTTGTCTTCTAATCTAATCTAATCTAATATATATATATATATATATATATATATATATATATATATATATATATATATATATATATATATATATATATATATATATATATATATATATATATATATATATATATATATATATATATATATATATATCAGTGCATATATATATATATAATGCCAGCAGTGTCACTTGGCATGGAAATACAAATTTAAAAACCTATTACACATTTTTAGCAACATTTAGTGCTAGTGGCTTGCGAGGTTGGCTTTGCTTCTGGCGTGTTAGGGAGGGAAGCGGAAGTAGAGAGCCTGGCTTGCGAAGGCAAGGCGCATCAAGAGTCGAAGGGTGGTGAAGGGGGCGTGGCAGGATACGTTTCAGAGAAAGATGCGAGTAACAGGGGATTGCAAGGGATAATTGTACAGTCTTTTCGTCGCTTGCCACATGCTCTTTGGTCGTCGTTTTGCGAAGGACGGTAACAGTACAAGGTTTTATAGCGTACATCCCGGATTATCGTTGTTAATTGTATTGAAACTTTGACTTTGTAGAACGAGTTGACTTTTCATCATGTCTTTTGAAAGCAATAATCAACAACCACCATCACAACCACCACCAGAACTCAATATCACGCTCCAAACAATTAAGAGCACATCACACGATTGGTCAAGCGACGAAATTCAGTCGCAATTACCGACAGAAATTTTGCTAATAACAGCAAATGACCATGAATTCGCTGCCTGTTATTCTTATATGAAAAATGTCCAAAGAGGTTGGCATGATACACTCGGAATGGTGGATTTTGGTCAATTTGATGACGAGAAACCGAGAGTTGCATTGATGAAATGTCCACAAGGACCAACTGAGGCTGTGATAGCAGTGAAAAATGCCGCTGAAATTTTATACCCAAAAGTAGTCCTTTTCGTTGGTATCTGTGCAACCTTGAAACCGGCGAAGGCAAAACTTGGCGATGTCGTGATTTCTGCCAAACTGGCGACTTATGGTGACAGGAAAATCAGGGCAGATGGGACAGTTGAGCATCGCGGCATCAAAGCGAATGTGAGTCGATATATGGCTCGACGTATTCTAAGTGCAGCTGATGGTTGGAAACCACCGTTACAAGACCAGAGTAGTTTAAAAGTCGACGTTCATCGTGACGCTGTGATGTTAAGTGGTCCAGAGTTGGTTGATAATCTTGAAAGACGCCAAGAGTTATCAAATAATTTTCAAGAAGCGCTTGGTCTTGAAATGGAGGGTGCAGGTAGGAAGTAGATCTGGGCCATCTGTAGTTTATATGTAGCTATTTACGTAAAAAAATGAAATAACTTAACTAGTACATGTGACTAGCTACAGCCAACTGACGTCAGCGAAGGAAGCTAACCTGTTACAGGCTAGGGAACGAATATCATTATGAAATGTGATCCTTTGAGGGTTGGATAAATTCTACTGCACAGAATTTAACTGAATTTTTTTTACTCAGAACATGATAGGCTATGATGCATCATTACTGCTAAATGGATTAGCATGATGCCTACATATAATATTCTGCATATTGCCATTGTTTTTAATTTTTAGGTCTATATGCAGCAGCATATGATCTTGGCATAGAATGGGCTGTTATCAAAGCAGTGTCAGATTTTGGAGATGGAAGTAAATCAGTGACAAAAGATTGGCAGCCATTTGCCAGTGTAATGGCAGCATCTGTTGTCCACAACATGTTTAAAGAAGCTCATGTAATAAAAAAATGGCCTCACTACAAAAACTTTGATCCAGGAATGGCAGAAGGTAAGTGAATACCAACGTGCAAAAACATCAATTCTGGGTTGGTTGGGGCTTGGGGGAGAGTGGCAAGCATACCTGCTTTACTTGCTCCAATTTTTCAACAAAGGAGACCATCCTTGTCCCCAGGCCCAAGCTTGAAGGAGACATACTTTTTTCTCCTTGTATAATATTGGATTCAACCTTTATACACCGAGTTATCCATTTTGAAAGTTATTTATTATACATACATGTGTAATAAGAAAAATTGTTGTGAAAAATAGGAATAGACATAGTGTTAGTGTTAAGACAATTTGGACAAATGAATTTTTATGTTTGAACATTGGCAAGTAAATAGAATTAACTAATTGCTTATTTCATGAGCATATTTCTAAAATTAGCTTGTTTTTTTAAGAGAGCATTTCTCAAATAAAAATTCTAAAGAATATTATTTATTGTGATTTATGAAGATACAATTGATGCAAAAAACGAAAACGAGAAGAGAACCCAAATGAAGATAAATATAAACGCCGAAAGGAATCACAGCCAGATTCAAAAATGTGTGTTAGTTGTGGTGCTACAAACAAAAATCAGCTTCCGGATGACCGCAACAAGTGGCCAATCGATAAAATCGAAATCAGTTCTTTCCAAACGATTTGCAAGCTACTTGACCTTGATGATGTCGGTAAAGTGCCAATTCTAAGCGCTCTAGAATACTTCGACCGACTTGAAATTGCCACTATGAAGAAACAATGTGGGGCAAAAGGAGGAACAGGGATTGCCGAAGTCGCACTCCAGAAATGGGGAACAGGTAACCGCCAACATAATGTGGGGGCTCTTAAGAAAATCGTAGAAGAAACCATGGCAAGGGTTGATGTTATTAATGAAATTGAGAATTGGGAGCAGTTGTGTGTTTGTCATGGATGTGGCAATAAACTCAAGTAGTTTGATTATCAGACTGTTGAGTAAATAATAAAAAAACACTGAAAGTAGCAGCAAAGTTGGTTTGGTTATGACACTTTTAACAAATAGTGTAATTTGTTTTGACATACAGTACATTGAAATAATCATATGATTTACTCATGCATCTAGCTTTTTTGCTATTGATTATAGCATAATTATACATACCAAAACTGTACCTGTAGCAATGAAAATATGTAAACTTTTCCATTTTATCATTGGTATAGTAATTCCATTTATGTAGTATGCATGTGACTATATTTAATAACAGTTTTAAATTTTCAAATTACGTATCTGTCACACTGTCTCTTGTTTGTTTTTTGGATTTCATTTAACAACTATAATAGTGTCACTAAATGTACCCTGGTTGATCAATAGCTAATGCACCTAAATATAGTAGTCACACATAACCTGTAGATGACTCAGTTATGTTTTTCATGGTATATGTTTTTCAAATAAAAACAAAAAATGCCTTTGGTAAATTCATAGCACCCACCCAGTCATTTCTAAAACCTTAATCACATCATACTGTACATTGTCCCCATGCACACACTTCTGTTTCGCTGGCAACATTACTGCATTTTCCAATCGAAAAATATTCCCTGTACAACAAGTCTGTTCCAAATTTCTCTCTTCTTTTTCCTTTTCCAGTGACTTTCTTGTACAATCAAAATTATTTTTAACCCATTAAGTTGCATTGTGCCCTAATGTATCCTGCTTCATTATTTTACTCAGTCTAACCACAGATGGTTTTACTTGTCAAGGGGAGAGCACTAGATTTCAATGGGTTAAAGAGTGCCACCATCAAATATATTAGGCCAGGGGAATGAAAGGAAAATATTTTTTTAGTAAAACCTAACAGATTATTTCTGATTTTAAGCTTATGTTATAATGCCATTTTCAAACACATGTAAAATCCATTCCTGAGCGGAGCCCAACAGTCTGTGTTAAATATCACATTTGGTGTGGCAATATCATTCAAAGAGATTGTAAAAAGAGATTAAAAGCTGTAAATTTTCACGCTGTGGTTTTGTTGTGGTTCCTTCAGAAAACACTTGAATCTTTCAGCAAATAATGAAATTAATACCAAACAATGAAAATTTTTGCGCTGGGATTCACAATGATGTGGACTGTGGCACTGGTGACTTTAAAGATGATGTCCACTCCTGTGCACATGCGCGAACTTTGTTTACGTTTTGAACTGCTATATTTGTAAGATATGATATACTAACTGAATATCTAACACTTTTCTGGTTCGCTATACTTGTAAATGAATATAAACTCTACGTTTCAATTCAAAAAAGTTCGAAAGATGCAAAATTTGGGCAATGTTTATATCTGGGGGCCGGTCCCCCTTTGTTATGAGCAGAACTGATGTGCTGAACAGATCATCTTTAACACACATCTTTAACTCCCATTTCAGTATATTTACATTTCAGTTCATTTTGATGACGACTCGGCCTTCTGTGTGGTCCCTATGCTTTGATGGTGATGTGGTCAAAATGACTCAAATCTAGTCAAAAATGAATCTAGACTGTCAACCTGACAGTCCTGGTAGATTGATTGATTTGACTGACTAGAGACCACTAGATCTGTCTAGATGTCTTGTCTAGACATATTTTGATTTTCAAAATAATACAAAACTATGTTAACAATACAAAACTAAACATAAAAATACTGACACTTACCAACCATTTCTGTCAAACATTCGACCATTAAAAAATAAACACGTGCTGTAAATTTTGAAATTTCCCCAACTTTAATATTTTTGTGAATTTAAATGTACGCGCCCGATGTCGCTTGATCAGCGTTAACGGCTAAAACTAAATACTTCATGTAAATACAACCAAAATGAGATTGGCGCGGAAATTGGCGTGTCGTTTCAACTTTCAAAATTGGTGTAATTAAAAAAGATAAAAAGCACTTGGTGGATAAGTGGCGTGGTAATCTGTTGCTCAACGTTGGACAACAGATTACCATTTTTTCTTTCAAACATTTCCCATTTTAACTTGTTGACAAATTGTTGAATTGCAGGAGCCAGGACGATAACAATTTATTGGAAGTTGGAACAACTTGTAACAAGTCTGTTGAGCTCACTACTTGTAGCAAGTTGTCGACAAGCCGCTGACAACTTGTCAACAAGCTGGGAACAAGCAGTGCGAACACATTTTTACGTGTGTAGTTGAGAAATACGAACCACAGCAGCATAAATTGGACCCCCAAGTTTCAGACTTCTCATGTAACATTAAGGATTTTCTCAGTAATCCTTTGCTGCGTCACTGAACATTGGAATTCATATTGTTGCATCATTTGTTTCCATTTTTGGAGTAATTAGAACATTCGTCATTCATTATATTGTGCGTATTACGTTCTGTCATGTTTGTCCAAGTTTCGGATCTTCGAGAAGTTCGAGCACGTGTTTCCAATTAGCGGAAAACCGCCAAAGTGGGCTATTCGGAACTGTCTCAAATTTACACGATTCTACCTTCCGAGTTCCTAAGGACTTGGGGAATTCAAGCGCATATGATATTGGGGAGATTTGAGCAGAGCTAACCAGTAGTGTAGAACTAAAATGATAACAAGGGGAGCTCTTACAGGGAGGTAGGGTGTCAAGACGTGAGGGTACCCTACTAAACAGCGTACATTAAGGTTGTTATTTATAGCACAAACGTCGTACAAACAAACTGAAATTGACTTTCAAATGAATGCAAATGAACTACATTATATTGCTACTGTGAGCCCTCACGAATTGTGGAAATATTTGGACAAACTACAAACCACATACAAACTCCCCTATATCAGCATGGCCCACATGTATTGTATTCCCCATTGCGTGGCGTATACCTAATAATATTTTGATGGATTTCACTTCTAAGGTTATATTGTGACCGGTCAAGTAGAACTGATTTATTTGGATGATCGCAATTCAAAAGAAATCAAACGAAATATTTCGACGACGAAATATTTCTCTGTAAGTGAAAATGACACCCTTTAATAGCTGAACGAGTTGACTTTTCATCATGTCCGGTGAAATCATGAATGATCAATATGCACCACCACCACCACCACCACCACCACCACCACCACCACCCAGTTTCCCTCTCCCAACACAGAGTGATTTTGGAAGGAAACGTTGCGACTGGTCAAGCGATGAGATTCAGTCGCAACTACCGACAGAAATTTTGCTAATAACAGCAAATGATCATGAATTCGCTGCTTGTTATTCTTATATGAAGCGTGTCCGGAGAAGTTGGCATGATACATTCGGAATGGTGGATTTTGGTCAATTTTTATTTGGTGGTCAGAGACCGAGAGTTGCGTTGATGAAATGTGCACAAGAACAAGCTGCGGGTGTTATAGCTGTGAAAAATGCCGCTGAAATTTTGTACCCAAAAGTACTCCTTTTCGTCGGGATCTGTGCAAGTATGAAACCGCAGCTGACAAGACTTGGCGACGTCGTGATTTCTACCAAACTGGCGAGTTATGGAGACAAGAAAGATGGGATAGTTGAGTACCGTAGCACCAAAGCGAATGCGAGTCGATATATGGCTCGATGTATTCTGTGGGCAGGTGATGGTTGGGCGCCACCGTTAAGAGACCGGAGTAGTTCAGAAGTCGCATTCTATCCTGACTCTGTGATGTTAAGTGGTCCAGACTTGGTTGATAATCTTGAAAGACGTCAAGAGTTATTGAATTATTTTCGAGAAGCACTTGGTCTTGAAATGGAGGGTGCAGGTAGGAAGTAGATCTGGGCTGTGCACAACATTAGCAAACAGCCTAAAACCGGAGTGTAAACTTCTCAACCTGTAGTTTATATGTAGCTATTTACATTTACGTAAAAATTAAATAACTTAACCTACCTCGTTACTTATAATCGACCTCAACTTGTTTTAGCCTGTGGAAGATCTAACTCGTATCCAAGGGTGGGTAGTATAGCGTACTGATTTTAGTAGCTGTAGTTCGCTACTGTAGCGAACTACAATTTTCAAGTAGCCAGTAGTTTTTGACTACTTTTTTAAAACAGTAGCTGTAGTTATAGCGAACTACATGCATTTTGCCTAAAGGTAGCCAAGTAGTTGACTACTTTTCAAACAGCGAATCGCTATTCGCTACTTTTTAAAATTGTTAGCAACCGGATTATCATAGAATAGCATGATATTGATTGAGACACGGTTTGCATAAAACTGATCAATACTCAATAGTCAATTTGCACTCCTGAACACTGTAGTGCTTACAAAAATGCCGTTGATTTGTGTTTACTGTTGCTACTCGTAAGTTGATTTGTTATAGGTTACGTTGCAGCCTGAGTTAGTAGATGCTCCAAATTGCAGTAAAACTAAAAAATATAGCGTAGCGAAATAGTTCGCTACATTTTTTAAGCAGTAGCTTTACTGTAGTCAGTAGCGAACTACCTTTGTTCAAAAGTAGCAGTAGTTGTACCTGACTACATATTTTTGAAGTGGCTGTAGTTATAGCGAACTACAAAAATCTTGTAGCCAACTCACCCTTGCTCGTATCCTTATCAACTCAGACCATAGGCGTACCGGGCGGGGGGGCTGGGGGGGCGGCCGCCCCCCCAGTTTTTTAGGCAGTCGGGCAATATTCGATTAACAGTCGGGCAATTTTGGGTTGTTATAAAAAAAAATCGGACAAATTCTGTAATTTTTTTCAAAAATTTAGTCAATTTTGGGGCAAATGTATTTTTTGGGA